TTTTTTTTTTTCATTTTTCAATTAATATATACACATTTCCTTTAAATCTAACATTATGCATAGTATGAATAGTTCATCACTTTTACAGAAATACAGGATGTCAATATTCACTCCAGAAGGTGGCCATAGTAAGTAAACTTGATTATATTCTAATTCTTGTTTTCTCAAATTTCTTGTCGTTTAAATGTAAAACTCCATATCTCGTGATGCATAGAAGACAAAATTGAACGAAGAAGTATATCAGAAGAATTGCCAAATTTCAGCACGAAAGCGTGAGTTCATATCCTTCATTAAGGCTTCTTTTTTATAACATGAAGATTTTTCAATATTTGCTTCTTCAACTTCACCATGTTATTAGTAATGTTGATGTAGAGGTGCTCAGCTAAATGAAGCATTAAGAATGCAGATGGAAGCACAAAGACGATGGAACGATCAAATTGAGGTAAATATACTTTACAATTACAAAAGGATAATGTTATTTGCAGTCACAAACTGTCACAGTTGCCGTACGTTGCATACATGTGGCAGATAGTGATTTAGTGTATGAGTTGAGAAAAAAATTACTACATTAATACATCAAATTACAAATCGTCATGTAGGATGCCACGTAGGACGACTACTGCAGTGAACGACTATGAACAACATTACTCTTTACAAAATCGATATCAAAATTCGTTCACTCAAACAATTAAGTCTCTCTTTAAGGAGATTCAAATGCTCGGCACAAAAGAAAAATCATGGAATCAACACCAAAAAAATCTCGTGAATTTGTCTTGTTCAAGATGAAACAACTCAACCAAAACGTTGTGCAGCTTATATTAATTTGCATTAGAATACCTTTATTTCACCAACAAGATCCCCATAACAAGAAAATTATATACATAAACTCATTTTCCTATAGGTTCAAAAGAGCTTGAAATGGAAGATTGAAGCACAGGGAAGATTTATGGACCGTATTATCGAGGAATATAAGAACCGGGTACCTAGTACTAAGCCAAACAAGCCTTATTCTTCTCCTATACTATCACTGCCTCCTCTAAGTGAAGAATCTGATCAATCAAATGAAAAGGAATTTGAATCTGATTATGAAGTTGAAACAAAGGGATTCCAAGACGAATTTCGAGCACGAAAAAAGATCAAAATCCAAGAAGAAATTCTACCAAATTTTAATGTGTTTCCTGTTGAAGGAAATCCATTTGCAGCAAATGATGAATTAGGGTTTTGTCCATGGACTGTTTGCACCTTTCAGTCCCCATTGCTGCCATCTTCTTTATACAACCCTCTAAATTAGGTCAAATGTTGCAGCAAACATATACTGGCACTGTTATGATGGTCGGATTGTAATATTTTCTGAATAATGACCATACTATGTTGAAGACTTATAGTGATAATCTATTCGTCTAGTTCATGTTCGATTTGTATTTAATAATGAAAATGGGGTATGGTGGATTAATTTATATGACTATTCAAGGAGTTGTTTTCAAAGAAGTAGATTAAATTCTTATATAGTCATGTAAGTTTTTATATTTATTCGATATAGATTAATTTTTTAACATGCATCGCAAGATGGTGACTTGTTTGATCAGCAAATCAATTTTAGAATCCAAATGCTTGTTTCAGCTTTAAACAAA